TTAGGCCTTTTTCTTTGAAGTAAGTTGCAAGTGTTACACTTTTCAAGGAAAGCTTCCCAACAAAAAGCACTAATTCTGGGAGGGATTGGTCTACCCCAAACTTCCAAAACTAGAAATGGGAGTCCAAAAACAAGTGGGGAATGAGCCAATTCTTTGAAGAAAGAGGAACAAGAGAAGACACCCGAAGGAGAAGGGACCCAAATCCTACTATCCCTCCTAGAGGGGTCAATAACCACCTCATCTAGGATTTTTAGCAGGTCAGAAATAAGGTTCAGTTCAGAGTCTCTAAGGGCCCTTCTAAAGCCCAAGTTCCGGTCAATAGTTGAATTAGAAGTGGTCAAAAAAGTGGAGATTGGCTCATTTTTAAAACGTGATGAAGAATACAAAGAAGGGAATAGCTCTTTCAACGGAGTGCTTCCCACCCAAACATGATCCCAAAATTTCACGAGGTTAACGGAGCACAAGTCATACCTGATTAGAGGAAGGAAAGAAGGAAGTATGGCATGAATGGATTTCCAAGGAGAAGCTCTCGTATCCCTAGCTGATACTCCCGAGTCCCAGCCATCCGCCGCTTGCCCATGAATACTTAAGACAACTTGAGCCTACAATTTATCCCTCTCCAAAGTCAACCTCCAAAGCCATTTCCCCAACAGAGCTTCGTTCTTTTTCTGCAAATTACCTAAAGGAAGCCCACCATCACTTTTGGTTTTGGTAAACTATATCCCACCTGACTCTATGGTCCCTTTTCTCCTCTCTTGGTTCCCATAAGAAATCACTCATTAACTTTTCCAAAGTCCCACATATTCCCTTAGGCATTTTAAACACCGACAGAAAGTAAACTGGCAGATTGGTCAGTGTTGACTTGATCAAAGTTGTCTTGCCTCCCATGGATAGGTAATTTTTCTTCCAAGATGCTAACCTCTTAGTGAATCTATCAATCACTGGATTCCAAAAACTCTTTTTGCTTGGTTATCCCCTAGTGGCAGCCCCAAATAGATCAACGGCCATTGAGCAATCTCACAACCCAAAATTCAGGCTCTATCCTCCACCTCACTTTCACTCAAATTAATGCCAATCACATAGCTTTTATCTAAATTCACTTTAAGATTGGTCACCTGTTCAAACACATTGATCACTTGCTTTAAATTACCAGCCCAACTTACCTCATCCCCACCATAAAAAAGAATTGTGTCATCAGCAAATTGTAGATGTGTTACTGGAACCCTATTCCTCCCTACCCTCTAGCCTTTCACCAAGTTTCTAGAATCTGCCCTCTCAATGAGCTTTCCTAGGACTTCAACAATTAGGGTAAAAAGGAAAGGAGAAAGGGGGTCTCCTTGCCTAATGTAGCTAGGAAGTGATCTACCACCTTACCATTCACTAAAATGGAATAGTGGCAAGTCCTAATACATCCTTTCACCGACTTGCACCACTTCTGTCCAAATCCAAAAGACACTAAGACTTTCAGTAGGAATGACCAATCCACCAAGTTGTATGCCTTTTCGAGATCCAATTTGCACACCAAACCTTTCTTCCCACTTCTTTTGAAATCTTCCACACTCTCATTTGCAATTAGGATTTGATCAACAATTTGTCTATTCTTCACAAAGGCACCCTAATTCGGGGAAATTATTAAGGGCAGCACCTCTCTAATCCTCCGAGATAACACCTTAGCAATGATCTTATAAAGGCTNGTATGCCTTTTCGAGATCCAATTTGCACACCAAACCTTTCTTCCCACTTCTTTTGAAATCTTCCACACTCTCATTTGCAATTAGGATTTGATCAACAATTTGTCTATTCTTCACAAAGGCACCCTAATTCGGGGAAATTATTAAGGGCAGCACCTCTCTAATCCTCCGAGATAACAYCTTAGCAATGATCTTATAAAGGCTGTGTACCAAACTAATGGGCCCGAACTCTTTGGGGTGACAAGCTTCTCCCTTTTTTGGAATCAGAGCAAGGAAGGTAGAGTTTAGACCTGGATTGATCACCCCTCTTTCAAATAATTCAGAAAACACTCTTTGAATATCCTCCTTAAATATCTCCCAACAGTCTTGGTAAAAAGCCATTGTAAAGCTATCAGGACCAGGTGCTTTAGATCTATTCATAGAAAATATGGCTACCCTTATTTCTTCCAATTCAAAACTTCTTTCCAACCACACCCTCGATTCTTTCGGGAGTCTAGGCCACTCCAAACCCTCAATCTGTAATCTGCTAGACATAGGCCTTCTATAGATGGATTTGAAATGGTCCACAAAAACCCCTTCAATCTCATTCTGTTGGGTTAATGTTACACCATTAATCACTAGCTTGGAGATAAGATTCTTCTTTCTCCTACCATTGGCTATAGCATGAAAGAATTTTGTGTTCCTATCACCTTCCTTTACCCACTTGTGTCTGGACTTTTGCCTCCAGCTAATTTCTTCTTTGAAGAGCACATCCTCCAAATTTTTCCTTAGCTCCCACCTAAGCTCTTTGTCCCCTTCCCCAAACGAGCCTAGTTCTTCTTTTGCATCTAACTCCTCAATCTGATTAATCAACTGTTGTTTTCTTTCCTCTAGCCTCCCAAAATGAAGAATATTCCATTCTTTGATTTTACTTTTCAACTCTTTCAGCTTCCATTGAAATTTCATACCCTCCCAATTGACCCTTGGGTTACTTCCTACCCACCATTCTTTTCACTTTCTCCTTGGAAAGCTATTCAAGGTATTTTGCCTCTTATGCTYCCTTATTYCAAATATGATGTYTGCRCTGGAAATAAAGTCTTGTTTTGGGAAGATGTTTGGGTTGGTGAAAACTCCCTTAGAGATAGATTTCCTTCTATTTACTCCTTGTATAAAACAAAAGAAAAGTGATCTCTTCAGTGTTTGTTGATAACTCTTGGGATTTGGGCTTGAGAAGAGGTCTAAAGGATTCTAAAATGGGGATGGTTGATGATTTGATCATTCAGTTAGGGGAAGTCTTTCTTGATTAGTCTTGTAGAGATAGCAGAATTTGGAAACCTTCCCCTTCTGGTTTTTTCAATTGCTCTTCTTTCTATAACATTTTGCTTCAGACCTCTAACCTTGTAGAGAACTTTCCTTCAAATGAGGTGTGGGGTAGCCCTGTACCCCCAAAAATTCAGGCCTTTTGCTAGGAAGTGGCACTCCAAAAAATCAACACCTTGGATTTATTGCAGAAAAAAGAGGCCAAATATGTGCCTCTCCCCCCATGTTTGTTGTCTCTATTTGGGTTTTGGTGAGACAATTTCACATTTACCAATCTCATGCCCCTTTTTGTCCTTTATTTGGTTTTGGTTCTCTTCTCTCTTTGGCAGCAGATGGACTCCCTCCTCGAGCATGGTGAAGCTCTTTAATCCAGCTTTTTGCAGGCAACCAACGGTTTGTGGAAGGATTATGTGGAGAGCCACTAGAGCTACTGTATTGTGGTCAGTGTGGGAGGAAAGAAACGATAGGATCTTCAAAGGTAGTTGTAGATCCAAGGAAGAGGTTGTGGAAGGAGTAACTACCAAGGTTATCCATTGGTTGAAATCCTATGATCTTTTTAAGGATTTCTCAGATGAAGACATATATAGAAGTTGGGGTATTGTGGCATTTACTACTACTACTACTACTTCCAAAGCTATGATACAGGAAGTTTGGTCTCCACCGGCACAACAAAGGGTAAAACTGAACTTTGATGGAAGCTCTATAGGTAATCTGGGCCCATCTGGTATAGGAGGTGTTTTTCAAAGATAATGAAGGCAAGACAATGGCTCCGTATTCAGGTCCAGTTGGAGTTGGAGATTCCTTAAGAGCGGAAATCTTGGCACTACATCAAGGTGTAGAACTGGCCAAACAATTGGGGCTACAGAAGATTGAGATAGAAGGAGACTCCAAATTGGTAATTGGGTGGATGCAGTCAGGGTAGCTGGGAATTTGGCAATATAGACAGCTGATAAGGGAAATACTTGGCATAACAAGGGAGGTGGGTGTTTGTTTCAAGTGGGTAAGGAGATCAGCAAATGGTTTTGCTGACGCCCTAGCAAAACAAGGGACTGTAAGGGAGAGACTTTAYTKGGCAGTGCTGTAATGTTTGATGTTTATTGGATCAACCTTTTCTAATAAGGGTTGACTTCTGTATTTCAGTTTAATTAATCTCTAATGAAAGTTATTGTTTCTGATAAAAAAAATTGAAGAGGTTTTGCTTTTTATATATAGTCTATGGGATCATAGTTCACCATGGTCCATTCATTCTTGCTGTTTTCTTCATTTACTTCTCTTCTGAAACTGCATCTTGTTCTGTATGGTAGAAGCTATTTGTTGCGTCCTAGACCTTTCTTTTCCCTATACTTCATTCTTGTGAGCTCCATTGAGTTGAGCATTATTACATTGATATGTCAAACAGTTCTCTGTTTAGTTTTCTACGGTGGAGGCCCTTTGGCTGACAATTGTGTTGTTTCACTAAAAAGTGCCTTTTATGAATGGTTCAATTTCAAAATTCTTACAATGATGGATCAATTTTTGTCGATTTGGTTCATGCCATAATTTGTTTGATAAATATGTTAAAAGATAAGCAAAGTAAGAAAATGGCTTCATCAATATTTGAGAAAAATGTGGGAAATCCACCTTGAATTGGACATACTATACAATGGAACGGATTTAGCATCCTATAGAGTGGACATTGTTGCCCTGATGAAGGTGGGATTCATACCCAAGCCTCTGCTACTACCAGCAGGAGACTCTACTGGCAAGCTATAATCCTCCTTTCTTCTAAGATGTAGTTTTGTTCTGCATAATTGGAGAATTTGATTTTTGTTGCTTTGAAGTAACCTGCTTCACAATTTTTTTCTTGTCACACTCTTGAATGTCTGCGACACTACACTCCTTTTAACTTGTATGACCTTAAGAGACTTGCCTATATGGTGTTATTTTCTACAGTCTATGACTTAACTGGTTTTTACATATTCATATTTTCACTTAAGAATTCTTGGTGATCAATTCATATCTTTGTTGTAGGTTGAGGAGTTGGTGCAAGAAGACTCACGTTTGGATCAGTACCCAAAACTGGTGAAGGGCGAGTCAAAAGTGGTATGGGAATGGCAAGGTATTGTTGCATGTTTCCTCCATATTGTGATGGTTTTTTTATTCTCTTCTCATCGTTCTTAGTTGTAAATTATAGTGGGGTTCCAGATATCTTTTATTATATCCTTTCTTTTTTCGGTGCCTTGCCAGTTTGAATCAAAATGGAAATCATATTATACTTGTGAATTCCTTGAATTTTGCAGTTGAAGGTTCTCTCAGCTCTTCAAGGATGAAAGCAAAGGGACGAATGAACAAATTGAAATCCAGTTGGGGCATGTGTGATTCTTCTGCTCAACAACAGCAAGAGGAACATCAGCAGCAACAGCAACAAAGACACACGTTGAAGGCTCTCGGGCTGCTAAATTCCTGATGTATATTTTTTCATGGCTATGCTTTATGTATTATATAGTATATTATGGACTTTCTCTAATGGTGGGGCCGAACCAGAAGATACTTTTGCAGCATTCTACGCAGTGATGAATCCCCAGGCCCACTCTACCATGTATTTTATCCAACGAAACTGCTATCCCGGTGCTTTATTCATATTTCATAGCCCTGCAGTTCCATAGTACCTGGTCTTTGTATGTGGCAGCCTTTAATYTTCTTGTAAGAAACTGTAACGAGGTAGGAACTGTTTCATGGAATGGTCTGTCGAAACATGGAGACCTGTTTTCTCTCTGTGGTGCATCGTGTCAAAATCATGTTCAAACGGGCATGAATTGATGATATTTGACGAGGAAATAACCTTAAAAGAAATTCCTGCCATGGTTTTGAAAACTGGACTGGAAAGGATCCGCTTTGATCACCGGTTCCCGGGTCAAATGATCCGACTGTCCAGTCCAAACCCCAGTTAGATGGTTTTGGGGGTCCAAAACCAGACCCCGAGCCGTGATCAGTTCCTGAGTCAACCGGTCTGGTTATCCAGTTTGATCTGGTTTTTACATGATTCCTGTGTAAAATTTGAACATGTAAACGAAATAAAATATCACATCAAACTAGCGTTTGAAATTAAAGGAAATTTATGGTTTGTTTCTCTGAGAATTTTTTATTGATTTTCTGAACTCAAACCCAAGGTTTTTAAAATTGGATTGGATAAGGAACCGTTCTGGGGATTGATTCCCAGGTCGAACAGTCTGGGCTGTCTGGTTTGAAGGGATGACCTAAACTGCTGTCTGGATCAACGATATGAGTGCCTGGGTCAGTGATTCACTGATCAAATCAACTATTTTCTGGTTAAAAAGTGGCTTTGGGGTGAACTGGTACCTATCAGGTGACTTTTTTCCGGGGGGGGGGGGAGGAGGGTAAGTACACTGCAACCCAATGCAGAATTATGAATGACAGCCCCTCATAGTCTATTAGTTACCCCCTCCCCATAAACCCATGAATTTGACATCAATTCAGGATTCATCCCCCTATATGATGGGGTTAAAAAATTCTGATCAGTCATTCTCCTTTTTTTTTTGTCCAATCATCTGGTCCAGTCCAGTTTTGAGTCAAACCCCCTCTACAGTACCTCTTGAATAGTGATAGATTTCTCACTAGTCCCTGTTTTTAATTGTACRAATTCAAAAATTTCTAAGGTGAAATAATTAACAAAAACCCCTAGATTAAAACAATGATGGGTTCAAAATTCATCGGGGTGGTGGTTAATAAATGTGATATCTAGGTGACAATTCTCAGCCCTGATTCTACCTGTACTTGCATAAATGACTAAATGAGAAAGAAATCATGAAATTAGATCATTCAAACTATTCTTGTCTCTAGCGCTTGGCTAGTATGAAGCTTCAAAAATGTTAAGCTGAAAGAGCATGGGAAGTCATATTTTTCTGTATTTCTGCTAGTCGGGTCATTTAGGTTATGTTTGGTTTGAAGGAAAAAAGGTTGGAAAACCTTGATTGTAAAGGTTTCTCTATCTTTTCCTACCTTCTCCTTCAAACCAAATACAGACATAAGGGGCATTTGATTCCCTACAGATAAAGTAACTTTTCTACTGATATACGACCATCAGTAGAAGAGTATTTTCCATCCATAAAATACTTTTAGGAGGTTGCAGGCTTCTTGGGCTGTGTTTGGTTTGATAGAAAAAAAATAAGAGAATAAAAAAAATCAGTGCGAGACAAAATTACTTTTGAGTGAGTTTGAGTTTTGAGAACTTATGCACAACCTTCGAACCAATAACTTAGGATCTGTTTSGTTTGCAGTTGGAATCGGAATCGGAATCGGAATGGTTCATTTCCATAATCTGTTTGGTTCAGATAGAAATGGGAATGAGATTTCATTCCCAAGGGAAGGGCAAGGAATGACCATTCCCTCAAATGGGGGAATGCAATTCTAGCAGGAATGAGAATGAGATTCTGATTCCGCCCAACCAAACATTTAGTAGGGCTGTTCACGGGTTGGGTTGGGTTGATTTACTGAGGTTTTTCCAACCGACCTGACTTGGTTGGGTTACCTGAGATGAAAACCGAAACCGACCCAGTGTTAAGCAAAACCGACCTGGTCGGTTTGGGTCGGTTTGAGTCGGGTTGGGTTGGTTTGGGTCAGATATTTTAGTTTTTATGTAAAACTGAAATATCTTTATTTAACAGTTTTAAATATAAAATATATTTAAATTAAAATCAAAATATATATTTAAATAGATTAGGTCGATTTAATTTAAAATCGAAATATATATTTAAATAGTTAAGTAGGAATTAAGTCGGCTCGGCTCGGGTCGGTTTCGATTTTCACACAAGAAAACCGAAACCGATCCGAACCATCGGTTTATGAATTTATACAACCCAAAACCGACCGATGCTGATGAAAACCCGACTGACTCGGGTTGGGTCGGTCCAGGTTGGTCGGTTTGATCAGGTTGGGCCTTCTTATGAACAACCCTAACATTTAGAATTGGAATAGCCCATTCCAATTCCAATTCTAGATCCCTATTCCTGCAAACCAAATGGGACCTTAGTTATAATGGTTGAAGCTGAAGCTTGATAGATTACTATACCATGAATATTTTTATCACTTAATTATTTAGTAAATTACAAAGACCCCCTTGTACTATAGGGTCAGTGATAAAACCCCCTATATTTTAATTTGCGACAAATGCCCCCTCACTAAAATTTATCTATTTCATTTTTCTTGTTATTCTCTCTTAAAACCTAATTGATCCAAAAGTACCTTTAGTCATTGTCAGAAAAGGGCAAAAAAAAAAAAACTAACTTTCTGGTGAAAAATAATGTGAAAGTGATAATCTGTAGAAAAGAAAAAAAAAAAAAAACTCCGAAAAATTCATCATTGATCTTGAACCAACGCATCAACCAAAACTAGCCATCTTAAAAATATGTCTTTTGGAGTTAACGATCCTCTGTTGAGGATTTGTTCCGTGGTGAGGTCTATATGCTGAACTTCTAGAAAATTTTCACCAAATGAACTAAAGCTGTGTTTGGTTACAAACTTACAATGCAAATAAATTTGCACTGATGCAAAATTGTGGTAGTGCAAATGATTTAAGTGTAAATTATGACTTATTTTTGTTTCATATTTTAACTTATTTTGTTTGATTGCAGTAAAAATAAAGTAAATTAAGACATAAAACAAAACAAAATTATATAAGAATTTGCATTTTTTACATTTGCACACCCATTCATTTGTACTAGTGCAAATAAATTTGCACTGCAACCAAACATAACCTGAAGTGGCAAGGGACGGTTTCATTCCCTGAATGAAATGAGATTTTTGAAACACATTAGATGATTGTAGACAAAAGAAGCCAATGGGTTCCAGAGAATAGATAGTCGATGCACATGAAAAGACTACGGTACCTGACGTGTGTGTGTCCAAAATGTGTGCCTTTGATATGTAGCCTTCATTATTTCATAGTTCAGTTCGGAAACAGTAGAAATGCAAATATGTAGAGTATAAATACATACAAATAATATAAAATATAAGGTTTTGCAATCTACATATTTGCATTTGTACTCCTTCCAAACTCAGCTTAATAGAATTATTGWCTTCGCTCTATGAGCTACAGAGATACTCCAAAATCTGCAATGCCGTGGAATGCCTCCATTGTTTACCAATTGAATGGCTGATTAATAAATTAAGCATCTCAACAACAAAATCAGGACAAGATATAACCATTCCATGGAAGATCGACCCAATAATCAAGGACACTTGAGAAAATGGCAAGGGACATTAACATCTTGGTATTAATACAAGTCATCAATCCATGGAAGGTAAACAAATTGCAAARCAGACCGTGAAGGATTTATGAGTATGTACTGAATTAACCCAACATGGCCCCATTTCTCAGGTCAACATCCATGTCTATTTTCGTATTCATTGATCATCCGCAGGCCTAATTCCAACTATAGTCAAATTAACAAACGCAGCTTTCTGGTTCACACAAATAGTTGTCACTGACCCTATAATACAGGAGTCTTTGTAATTTATCAACTAAGCAATAAATCATTCATTAGAAGCTGCCATCTAACAATCTTGAGTATTTGAAAAAAAAAAAAGAAAAACTTGGGACTCCCCAGGCACAAAAGTTGTAGGATCTTAGGAAAAGAGAAACAAATGTAAATTTGCGAACAAAAAAGCGAGTAATAAAAGTGGATATTGGGAATTCATAATTTGCCTCTTATTCCATGTTTAGAGAAATGTGATTTGTGATCCCACCGTTTTACACATAAATATACACACATTTGTGTTTTGTACATATATACACAAGTGTTTGCATACATAAATTTATAAAATTATACACACAAATCTAAAACTAAACCAGGCCTGGGTTGGGTCAGATTGGTCATGTCCTCAATCTTAACCCAATCTGAAGTTAAGTTAGGTTTACGCTTTTAACCCCAACTTGAGGTTCAACCTGGCTTGGGGTTGGTCTAACTTGTCCCAAGTTGCAGCCCCAACATTGATTAATCGTTAAGGCTCAATTTGAAAGAAGTACAAATACAAATATATACAATGCAAATACATACGAAATAATATAAAATGCAATGTTTTATACTCTACAAATTTATATTTGTACTCTTTCCGAACTGAGTCTAATGTTTTATAGGATRTCAATAGTATTAAAGCTTGCCTTAGCCCGGCCTGCACCTTGGGCCTGATATTACATGCCCTGGCTCGGTCACAAGCTGGCCTATATGAATTAAAATTAAAAATTTAATTTAATTTTATGTTCATAGTTATAAAAAACATATTTAAAAAGTTATTATATATATAATATCATATATACATGTTATACATACTTATATGTTAGTAAAATATTATACAATATTATCATAATGTGAGATATTATATAAATAAGTTATAATACTATATATTATGTACCCTATAATTTTCGGGCCGGGCCAAACAAAGCCCTACATTGTACGCGGACTTGATGGCGGTCCAGGATGGGCCGAAGTTGACAGAAATATGGATGCTCAGGCTCAGAAATTTGCGGACCGGGCAAGGCGGGCGGGGACGGATCGTAAATGATCATCGCTTATCAAAAGATCCTGTGGCTGCAGTTAACGAAAAGGTAGGACTAGGATGTAATTTCGTCGTACCTAAAGGTGATGATGAAAGAACACACGACCCTCTTGTCTTTTCCTTCTCCCTCCATAAATAATTTTTGATTAATTAATTTGCGCGGGAAGGAGTAAAGTAACAGTGCTCTCTCTCTCTCTCTCTCTCTCTCTCTCTCTCTCTCTCCAAATAAAAGATCGAAAACCCTACCAACTAAACTACGAAACCAAAATCCTAGCTTTCATGGCTCCCAGGAAAAAGTCTGGTTCTTCATCAGCGTCTAAGAAATCAAATCAGAACAACCACCAGTCCCAACCTTCCAAGTTTGGAATCCAGCATTTCTTCGAGCTTCACACTCAAAATGCCTCTCAGGCCTCCAAAAACGTCCAAGCTTCACAAACAACCGATCCGAAGAACCCATCCCAGAGTACGCCTCCACCCAATCTTCCGGCAGTTGCCGCTGCTACCATCACTACTACCGATGCAGCAAGCAATGCTGAAGACCACTCAACCGTGGTTTCGCCGGAAATTAACAAATCGGGTTCATACAAACGTTTCAAATTTTCACCTGGAATGGTATCTTTTATTCTCATGTAGATTAAATTCTATATTTTCGAAGGAATTTATCTGGATTTGGGTTTTCAAATCTGAAGCGATTTTTCTTTGTTTTGGTTGTTTAAATAGTTAATAAAACAGAGCCAGGATGATGGGGGTGATGAAGTCACATGGAGGATTTCTCCAGTAAATGAGAGGCTTCAGGCGATGTCGAAGCATTTGCCTGAGATGATGAAAGCCTTGGCAGATGCTTCCAAGCTGAATGATTTGAATTTTCGACGTTGTTCACAGAAACAGGCACGTTTTATGTGAAAATTTTCCGTGGTCACTTTATTTTTTACTTGTGCCATTTATAACGAGTTATAGATGGTTCAGAGCCCTCCTAATTCGGTCGGGAAGCTCGAGACATGGCTTTCTTCACCCACAATGAAGGACCCCGAAAGATCTTTAGTATTGTCAAGAAGGATTTCTCTGAAAGCAATTGAACCAGTACGGGGAGTGGAGTTCAATGGAAGCTGTTCGGGTGCAGATGACCTCAACAACTCCAATGTGGTTAAACGGCACAGCCCTTTTAGGACTCCACCCTCTGTATCGTGTTGCTCTGATGGGGTAACGAGACCTTCATTTTCTGAGTGGACATACTAGATTGCCACTATATTTACCATGCTGACTGGTTAAATGCTTTATAAAGTGCAGTCTGCTAATGGCATTTTGTGTCAAGAAGCATCTAATCAACTTGGTTTGCGGCAACACAGAAAGGTTCCTTCACTAACTCTATTCACTGAGCTTTCTATTTGGGTGCTCTTTTTTTTTTCCTATTTTAAGCATAGCTCTTTTCACTTCTCTCTTAAAGTGGCTTGTCTTATGGCTCCTGGTAGTTGGTTTGATCCTAATGCCTGTATACCATTATGCTATGTTAGTCATCAAATAATTTTGTCCTGGCATCGGTTTTAATGACCTAAAAATACCCTCTACAGGCGCTGCTTGATCTTTTAGATCAAGTGGAAGATGTCATTGCTGTCGAAGATACAGTGGTGAATGAGACAGACACATATTTGTTCAGAAATCAAGATAAAATGGAAAGAGGGATCACTGTTGAATCTGATACCATGGTGAAGAAACAAGGAAATTTTTCACAGCAAAGGGTCAATAGAGGTTCTTCTGATCTAAATTTTCTTGTATTGGAGGTTTGCCCTGTATTCTTTAACTGTCTTCTATATTTCTTTTTGTTTTTGGTATTTTAACGCAGCACACTAATAACTCTCCAAGGTGGTAACCGGTAGTGGGACTTGAATCCTCATCTCTGCTGGGACTACCCAGCTAACATACCAACTGGGCCACCACTCAGTTGGTATAACTGTCTTGTATATTTCTTAGAGGAACTAGGCCATTGCTGGGTGTAATGGTAAAATCTCAGTCTGACACACACGAGAATATGAGTTTGAGTCTGAGAGTGGCCACTTTGTGCAAAAATGCCAAAGGTAGGTCTGTATCCGATTCACCCAGGCACCTGCCAAGAACCCAGATAGCTGGGACCAACAATGGGTGATGGCTTTTTTTATTTTTATTTCATAGCGGAACTGGTCAGTTTTCCTTGAATACTGATCTTTTTCAACACTTCTCTGCTGTAGGTTTGTGAAAAGCGCCAAACTGATGAATCATTTTCTGCCCAATGCTCTTTTAAGGTTCTTGTTGAATTTCAATTATGCACATGTATGATTCTTTTGGGTTCTGTATTTAAAGCAACTACCTGCTTGTTTCCTTTTTAGGTTGTTCGTTTACTGAATGAGCAAACTGGGGAAGAGAGGGCTTTGCATTTGCATGATGAGTGGTATGTGTTGGTGGTTTTGCTTTAAGTTCTCTTTACTTTCTATATCTGTTTGTTGAACTGAATTTTTGAGTAGCATGTTGTATTATTTAATAACACATTGATGATGAAGTGTATTTTGTTAAATGAGGAAGGCCATGGAATTGTCTTAGAGTATATTTGCTCATTGGTCTAATTGTATGGCTGTTATGCTACTGATTGGCAGTGTCATGTCTATTCCCCATTGCACATGGCATGCATTTCTTTCATTGTTTCCTTTTGTAAACATCATTTGAACCACTACTATTATTTTGCTTCTTTGATATGTAAATATTTTTATGTCAGTGAAGTGTATTACTAGAAAGTTATTGATCGGCCCAAACCTGGACACTGGACATTTAATTTTTATATATTATGGAAATTTTGAAGACTTTTGAAACAAAAGTAGGAAAAGAAGATCCATTCTCCCAGTTTAAACTTGAATCCTCCAAATGCTGGTATCATGATTTTCTTGATTTTATCCACCAATGAAATTAATGAGTCAAAATAAATTACCTCCAATGTTTTCTTAATTTAACATTTTCATTTGGACCTTATTTTTTTCCTCACTGTGCCTTCCAATGTTTTGAAAATTGTAATTGTATCATAAATCATAAAGAAAATTGGAAATGCATTGTAAATTGTATCATAAATCATAAGATTATTTATTTCTTAAAAAATTGTCAAAAAATTAAATATAGATATGCTTAAAGGCAAAATATAAATAAAAAAGTGATTCTACTTTTTTTAATTCATATCTACCATATATGTACCTAAAACAATAGAATTTATCACTTGTACAATAGAAGTCTAAGATGACATAGTCAAGTTTGACTTGAAAGTCAATTAATCCACATGCAATGGCTCTATATCATACACATGATGGGATATAAACTCAATATATGGCCTTAAATAACGTAAATAAATGAATCTCTAGTAAGGTCCTCAAAACAAATCACCTTTGACAGAATTAAATATAAACAAAAAAATGGCAAAGTAGAGAATCTTTATTGAATTGTTTTGAATTGCAATGAATTGTATAAATCGTAAGATTTATGAATCAAATTGTGGGATTCAAACAAAATTTGTAAGATTTTTGCAAAAAAGGATTCAAACATAATATTTGAATCAAAACCCTTGTGATTCATGATTCAAATCGTGAATCGTATTATAAATTGTAAGATTTTGATAACATTGGCGCCTTCTATTAGTATTGTTCTCTATTCTAATTTTCTTTCATTTCTAGGAGGAATTTTCCTTTATGATTCTGATTTCTGATGTTACATAGTGTTCCTGGACTTGTAGGTTTTACAGCATTATTGGACCTGGAGACACTATAAATTTGATTGGAGAATTTGATAATGAAGGGGATTATGTTGTGGACCATGAAAATAATCTCATCATTGTTCATCCGGACATACTGGTTTCTGGAACTCGTGTAAATATCACCTAACAGACTGAATTTTGGTTCTTATCATTATAGAAACCTAAGCATTGATTTCATTAGGCTCAGTTTGGAAGGAGTGCAAATACATATAAAACAATACAAAATACATGGTTTTGTACTCTACATATTTGTATCTGTACTCCTTCCAAACTGAGCCTTATGTTCAATGAATTTTGGTTATCTATCCTGTAAAATTAGCATCTATTTATTCCTTGCTTTGATGAATTTCAATGAATTGAACCTCTTCCAGGTTGCTGCTAGTTTCGGCTGCCCTAGGAGATCTGTACTGGATGAGAGGCTAAAGAGCAATGAGCATTCAGTTGCAGCTCTAATTGGTACCTTGCTTCATCAAATTTTTCAGGTTGTCTGCTCTTCTTTTGTTACTTCTCCAAAAGATAATAACTTTGCCAATAGGGGTGTCACTATCTATAGGTCAGGTTAAACAGTAATCTAACCTATAGGATTGGGATTGGAGCAGCCTTAGGCTGCATTTAGCATTCCTTATTTTAAGGACTTGCTCTTTTTTGCAGTTAAAATGTCTCTATGAACACTGAAATTTTAACAGCGAAAAGGAGATAAGTCCTTAATATAAGGAATGTCAAATGCAGCCTTAGTCAGGTGTAGGGTTACATTTAGACTGCATTGTGTTTGAATCAGGACCAGGTTTTGCTTGTCCTGACTTGTCAGGTTGTTGTGTCCCTACACATACAGGGGTCATGTAGCTGGTTATGCCATTGTCCCTTTATTTTATGTAGCTGGTTATCTCTTGATGGTTTTTACGGGAAGGGCAGTTTTTGACATAGTATTGAAGAATATGCAAATATAGCCTTTACTAAGAAAAGGTGTTTTGTTCATGGGGTGTGGAGGAGGTGGTATCAGTTGGTACCCTATAGATTGCACGGCATTCAGTAATTATATTTCATTAAGTTGGGTCATGAGTTTGGTAGTGGGTGCCTTAGCATTGGGAATAGGATGAGGTGAGCCTGTATTGAATCTGCTCCATTGACATCCCTAGACAGAAAGATGATTTGGTTTCCATCTCTTTATGTTTTATGGCATTTCTTTCTTCTTGTAGGCTGGACTTCTAAGAGAGTTACCTACAAAAGATTTTTTGGAGGAATATGCAAGGACAGTGCTCCAGAAAAACATTGACAGCTTGTATGCATGTGGAGGTTGATATCTGTTAAACCATTATTGAGATATAGTTTCCCTTTTCTTGTTGGTGAATACAAATCCTTGCCAACTAAATAAATTTCAGCTACAAGATCCTAGATGCTTATCAGAAGTTTTAATCTCCCTCATCTAATGTGGTTTGTGCAGTAAACGAGGACGAAATACACAAAACACTGATTGATGCAATTCCAAGAATATTAAATTGGCTCCTTTGCTTTATGGGTTTGAAGGTATTACATAATTATTTATCGTGCGTGTTTAGCAATGTCTTTAGATAAATAACAACAATCTTTTTAGGCCAACAGGGCAACACCTTGCAGTAAATCTTCAAGTACATACACAGGAATATCTATGCTATGACTACTGTGCATGCATACATACACACATACATACATACATATATATATGTATGTGTGTGTGTGTGTGTATATATATATATTATGCACATACATGTTTTTATTTATTTGAATGTATATACACCTAGAGGTGTAAATCGGGCTGTGCCGTTCACGGCCCGGCATAATGGTCCGTGGGCCGTGCTAGGCCTGGCACGATCATGTGGGCCGTGCTGGGCCTAGGGTTTTAGGTCCATGGGCCGACACGACACGGCATGACCGAGCGGGCCGTGCCGCCTGCAGCCTGCGGGCCGGCACGACCCAGCCTGCAGCCTGGCCCGACACAACCCATATATATTATTTATATAATATTATATAAATTATAATTATATGATAATATATAGTATATAATATATTAATAAAATAAATATTTTTTTTTTTATTTTAATTATACTAATTTATTTAATTATTGTATATATAAGCAATTTTATACACAAAATTCATATAAAATTAAAATTTTAAGTTTTTTTTTAAATAAATAGCTTTGGCCCGATGCACGGCCCGACTTGGCCCAAGGCTCGGCCCACGGGCCAGCCTGGCCCGCAGCACAGCACGGGCACGCATGGGTCTGGGCCGTGGGCCGTGTTGGGCCGACCCCCAAATTTTTCACTGGGGAGGGTGGCACGGCCCGCACTTTGCGCGGGCCGCCATGGGTACACCATACAGTTGCCTAGTCATGTAGGCAAGCTTTTTATGTGACCTACCTAATTCTGCCACATAAAAAGCATCAAAGATTTTCTGTGGCAATGGCAAGGAAGAGGGCTAGGTCAAAGGGGCAAACTCTACTGGAACACGGTGGTCCAAGCAGTTACGTGGGGTGTTTGGGAAGAACGAAACAATTACATTTTTAACAATAAAGCTAGAACCATGGAAGACCTAAGCTCTCTTATCTCTTACATATTCAATTTGTGGGTGCTGAATTCAGAGATGCACAAGGTCTTCTCTCTAAACATGCTTCAGCAGAACTTGGTGGAACTGTTGTTCTTTTCACCTAGTGCCTTAAGAACTACCAGCCTTCCCCATTCAAGAGAAGAGGTGACCTTGTACTTTGATGGAAGTGTTCTAGGGAACCCGGGTTTGGGTGGATTTAGTGGTGTGTTTAAGAGGAGGGATGGTAGTCCTTTGTGGTTCTTCAGTGGACCAATAGGGACTGCAGACTCTACAACAGCTGAAGTCCTAGCAGTGCTAAATGGCCTCTGTACCACAAAAAGACTGGGCTTGACCAACCTGGTGGTCAAAGGTGACTCTAGCAACATGATAAAGTGGCTTGGGGAGAAGGAAGGCGGACCTTGGAGACTGGATCACTACCTGGACGAGGCTAGAGATCTGTTATGCTCCTTGAATACAACTTTAATCTGGATTCCCAGGACTCAACTCTGTAGCCAGATAATTTATCCAAGTCTGGTACTCAGGGAAAACCGTTATAGTGATAGTGTAATGCCTTTGTACCCTATGTGAGGCTAACCTTTTGTACATCATCTCATGTGCTCTTTCTTTCTCTTTAATAAAGTTACTCTTTCTCTCAATAAAAGTTCCCTACAATTTTTAATTTTTAAAATTTAAGACATGCCCATAAACAAGTGCTTATTTTGAAGTCTATTTGGCTSAAGTTTTTCCATGAGTCTATGTCTAGAAGAACTTGTGGAATCCTTTTGAATTCTGAAGTTGCCACGTGGAAGATTCTTAGGTCATTCAGACTTCTTCACTATGACCAGACTAACAAAAACATTGCCACATATTATATACTAGCCATGTGACACAAACATTCAGCTCCAGAGATTGATTTGGAAATGAGCTTTTAATGAGTGGAGAGAGTGGGTGACACAGAAAAAGGATAAATTGCAAGGATTAAAGAAGTTTTGGGATCACTGAAAGGGGGAGTGAATCTTTCCCTTTCATGCATGTTTATGTATGTATGATAACTTTAACTTGTAATGCTTTAGGCTGATAGTTTTTAAGATTGCTGGCAGGATTCAAAAATACCTGAAGTTGATTTTGGATCAAATAATGGACAAAAAAAGGTTAATGTAACTGAGGTAAGGCAGTTTTCACTTAATCTCCTTTGGATTTATTGAAAATGTTCATGCATTTTCTCATGCATGTGCATTAATCATTGGATGTATATTTCCTGCATAGGCATGTTACATTATTTTATATTCATTCACAAAGCAGATGCATGGGTTTTGTTTTTTATTTTTGATGCATACAAAATGTATCTAAATATAATGCATGCTTGTTGRACATACAGAAATGCGTATCCTCATGGCACAAAGTTCAAAATATTGCAATGTATTGGTTGGTATTGTGTGCGTGTTTTCATCTTTTGAACCCACTGAAACATCCTTTAAAAGGGTTAGGGGTGGGTCTCTAGGTTCGTTTATCAGATCCCCTCTTATCTTACCTAATGGCACAAGGTTCAAAATGTGTATCTTACCTAACCCTGGAACATCATGATGAAGAAAAAAAGAGTATCACAGCTTTATGATGTGCGAAAATTGCCATATCAATACTTTTAACCTTTCATGCATTTGATTTTTTCTGTCCACTTCTGCATCTGTACCTCTACATACATATTTTCAAATATATACCTGAAATGTCCACAATTTTCATTGAAGGACAAAATTCAGGTACTGTAGCTGGCCTTTAGGTTCTGTTTACTTGTGTGTGTACTGCCAATAATGGACTTATCAGAGGTTTATTTGAGAATGTAGGTGATAGATATTGAAGAGATGGCATGGGCACCAAGATATGGTTTGAAAGGAATGATTGACGCTTCCATACGAGTAAGAGTAGATTCAAACATCAATGGAGCTGATGAGAAAATTATGCCTTTAGAATTTAAGACTGGGAAAGGAACTAGTGGTCAGGTCAGTTTCTGGTCTTGCAAAATTTATGTCCTAGGGATTGAAAGATGGTTTTCTTTACATCAATTAATTTTCAGGGGCATTGATATGATTTGCCACTTCTCCTTTTGTGAGATGCAATTGGAACTCATATTCCTCATTTGTGCAGTCTGCTATGGAACATTGCGCCCAGGTGATCTTGTACACTCTTCTAATGTCCGAGAGGTGTGGGATCTATCCTTTTTTCTTCTTCTGTTATAACCTTATCATGGCAATATTTCTTTGAGGAGTTTTCTTTTCTTGTATATCTTATTTCTTTCATTTTTCAGATACCTGAAGCATATTGATTCTGGTCTTCTTTACTATCTCCATACAGATCAGACACAGGTATAATCAACTATATTTTTTGATTGATGTTACAGTTTTTAACACTAAATACTTTAACTATGTGGGGTTTAGCCGATAATACATGCATACAAATTACTTTACTTTTTACATGTTTTGTCAAGGGAATTGCGGTTCAAAGATCTGACTTGATTGGGCTAATCATGCGCCGAAATGAACTTGCCAATGATATTCTGAAGGCATCAACATTACAACAATTACCTCCAATGTTGCAGGCATGAACTTATTGAAATACTGGAATTAAATTTTACTTAAATCACTTGGCATGATTGGTTTAATTTTATCTTACTTCTATTGTAGAGTCCAAACACATGCAGAAGTTGTCGCCACCTCAATGCTTGTACCATCTATCATAAGGTACAAATTCTTCATTCTGCAGAATTCTACATATCAATTGGCAGGCTTTTGTAGTTTCCCATTAAGAAAACATGCTCCCTTCAATCATCTGGTTATTGCAATAACACAATTGCATCCAAATCAAATGGTTCTTGGTCTCTTGGATTAGGTGATTAAGAGACCTATCCATTTACACTAAAACCAAGTCAAATTGACAAGCTTTAACCCTTAAAATGTAGGCTGCAATAAAAGCGACAAACCTGCACCTTCAATTTCTTTAAGCTCTAAAATTTCTCCAATGTGATTTGTTAAACTATTTTAATCCTATTCCTACAACACTGACAAACTAGAAAATAGCTCTTAAAAAACTCAAATGGACCAAACCTTGTGCTTAATGTTTTGGATGGATGGTTATGCCACTGGTGGTGTTTCTTACACTACATAAAGGTTGGAACCCTAGCAATGTTTTTAGGTTTCATTGTGCTATAATAATATTCTTAGAAAATAAAACTGTACTCAAAATGTTAGTATTTTCTTTATCAGTAATTAGAAAAGTTTAGGAATGAAATAATGAGAGCTTGAAGAAAGATGCTGTGTTCATAAAAATTGATATGCACAAGAATATAGATGAGTAAATTTGTTAGTGTTGCCATATAATGTACTACATGAATGCTACCTCTCTTAAAAACATTTGTTTGTGTTGAGTGTGCAGATGAGTTTGGGCAGTGATCAATAAAAGAGATACTATTGTGTTAAAATTGTTACTATCGATAATTCTATTAACTACATTGTCACCATGTGAGAACAAACAATTATTTGGGAAATATGTATCAAAATAAATTTTAGCATATTGGCGGATGTTAAAGGGTTGTGGGATGGGCCCTGGTGCGTGGGCAGGGACTTCAATGAGATTAGATTCTCGGAGGAATCCAATAAGGTTAACCAGAGGGTGACAAAAAGCATGAAGAAGTTTAACAGCTTTGTGGATGACTTTGAGCTTAAAGAGATCCCCCTAGCCCATAAGACATTTACTTGGTCAAATCTCTAATCTAGACCCATTTGCTCTAAATTGGATAGATTCCTGTTCTCTCTGGATTGGGAAGTTCATTGGGGAACCTTG